TTTGTTTAGGGAGGAAGTTTCCCGAGGAGAACACTGGTTTTTAAGTGGGCATTGGAATTCGGGATTCGTCCTGCGTCTAGCACCCTGGACGTGGCGCCATCTCGCAGGACCTTAGGGTTGCACGGGCCATGTGACAGGCTCCTAGGCGCCATGGTGGGAAGACGGCACGTCTTCTTCGGTGGCTGAATTTTTGATTCTGCCTTTCCTTTATGAGCTATTGAAACAAGATTTCCAGTGCCTTCGCTCTTTACTAACGGTTCAGTTATTGTAGTTTTCAGCAGGGTTTGGATTAAGTGGTCCCAGGTAAGAAATTCTTAGAGCTATATTCTGGTTATAGCAGCCTGGATTAGTAAAGCCCCAGCTTTTACTATCTATTATAAAATTATTTTAATTTCTAACAGCATAGAGACATCTGTAACACAGTTGAAAACAAATAGTACCCCCCAAAATTGGGAGGTCAAGCAATCTGTCAGCTTTATAGACGCCTAGGGGAGTGATTAGAATCAACAAGTCAAAACATTACACTAATGTAATTACATTGCAATATGCGTGAACTCAGGCAAACTTGCACAAAATGACCTAAGTCAGGCAGGAAAGTACATAGTGTTTAGTTACATTTAAAAGCCTCAAACCACCACTCCCATGGCCTGTAGCATTAAAAATGAAAACAAAACAAAAGCCGGGCAGTGGTGGTGCAATCCAGGCAGATCTCTGTGAGTTCGAGGCCAGCTTGGTCTACAGAGCAAGATCCAGGACAGGCACCAAAACTACACAGAGAAACCCTGTCTCGAAAAACAAAAAAGAAAAGAAACAAAAAAATGAAAGCAATCTTTTTGGAGAGAAGACAATAACAAAATAGTACCACCTTCTGAGGTTCGGGTATTTGCAAAAAAAATTTTTTTAATGAAGTAAAAGGAGGACATGACAACTACTAAAGTATGGGGAGATTTTTATTGTAGATACTGTAATGATATGGCAAGGAAGGCCTTGGTGGGTTGGGCCAAGGTGCCTGCAGAGGTGTGGGCACTGGAAGTTACACCGAGGGGGAGAGAGAGAAGGAGAGAAAGGAAAGCGGAGATGCATGCAGCCTCGTGGAGAAGAGGTGTTATGATACTGCACGAGGGAGACCCTGGCTGGCCCGGCCAGGTGTCCCATGCGTGAGGTGGGGCAGATGCGTGCGCTGCAGGCACGTGGAGTCAGTCACTCACACCCCAGGCACTGCATCCACCTGGAGAATTTATTTGATCTATAAAGATAGGAAGGAGAGAGGGAGAGGGGTCGAGGGTACACACCTTGTGGAAATGGAGAGAGAGAGAGACAGAGACAGAGACAGAGACAGAGACAGAGAGACAGAGAGAAAGAAGCATTTTCCCCCCTTAAATGAGTTTTTTTTTAAGTCAGGACACAGGCCCCAAGGGGCGGTTCAGAATACTAACGAAGGGGAAGAAGAAGGAGGGGAGGAGTTTTTTCCTCTTAAAGAGGGCTTTACATCAGGACACAGGGCAGGTTCCCAAGGGGCTGGCCAGAATGCCAGATGAGGAAGAAGGCAGGCAGGAGTTCCTGCTGAACATGGCCAGCAGACTAAACCAGCTAGGGGGTGCCTCCAATCGGCCTAGGCCAAAAGACCTGCATAACA